CTTTATATTAAGGAAATAGTACGACTGCATGGTGTCCCTGTAGCTATTATCTCGGATAGAGAAGCTCAATTTACAGCTAACTTCTGGAGGTCCTTCCAAAAGGGATTGGGGACTCAAGTAAGTCTTAGTACAACATTTCATCCCCAGACAGACGGATAGGCTGAGCGTACTATTCAAACACTGGAGGATATGTTACGAGCTTGTGTAATAGACTTCAAAGGTAGCTGGGATGACCATCTGCCGCTTATTGAGTTCGCATATAATAATAGTTACCATTCCAGTATTCAGATGGCTCCATACGAAGCTCTTTACGGACGGAAGTGTAGGTCGCCTATAGGGTGGTTCGATGTTGGAGAATCTAAATTACATGGGCCAGACCTGGTTCAGCAAGCCATAGAAAAAGTAAAGCTTATTCGGGATCGACTATTGACAGCTTAGAGTCGTCAGAAGTCATATTCTGACGTGCGGCGACGAGAGTTAGAGTTCGGGGTTAATGACTGGGTATTCTTAAAGGTGTCACCTATGAAGGGTGTAATAAGGTTTGACAAGAAAGGCAAACTTAGCCCACGGTATATTGGGCCTTATAGGATCATTCGGAGAGTGGGCCAAGTAGCTTATGAGTTAGAATTGCCCTCGGAATTAGAGCCTGTTCATCCGGTTTTTCACGTATTTATGTTACGAAAGTGCATTGGCGATCCTACCCGAGTGGTGCCCACGAATGATGTATAGATTACAGAAGACTTATCATACGAGGAAATACCGGTCGCCATCCTAGACTGACAAATCCGCAAGCTGCGGAATAAGGAGGTAGCCTCCGTGAAAGTACTTTGGAGGAACAACAATGTTGAAGAAATGACTTGGGAGGCCGAGAAAAATATGAAGTCTAGATATCCCTACTTATTTCCTCCTCCAGAAAAGGTTCCGACGGAGACGTCATAATCATAAGGTACGTGTATAAATTCTTGTGTTGGTTATTATCGTTGGTCATGTGAGGCCATTGTCGTTATTCATAATTATGGTCCTGTGTGTCGTTGGGTTATTAAGCTTCTACGGGGAGAGTTGGTAGTGGTGTTGTTACAGAGGCGACCTTGCCAAAGTTATATAGATCATGGGGAGTTGAACATTCGAGGACGAATGTTTCTAAGGGGGGAAGGATGTTACATCTCGCGTTTCCGTACGTTAAAAGCTTCGTTTTCAGTTAACCGACGTGGACTCGGGGACGAGATCATCTTGACGTTAACGTATTTACGCTATTTGTAACAAGCGATAAATAAGTGTTATGAAGGATAAAGGGGTACACGAATTAAAGAAAACGAGTTTCGTTGAAAGTGGCCAATTTGGGATAAAATACGGGTCGAGCGATAATACCCGATAATTATGAACTAGTACCATGCAAGGTACCATATGACCATGGTAGTATAATGTATAAAGTATATATGAAGGATATTAAAAATAAGTTGAATTTTATGTAATTTGAGGCAATTTTTAAATTATGCGGGTAATTGGTAAATTATCGGATAACGAGACATTACCTAATTACCTAATAAGTGGATAAAAGTTAAATATCCCACCCCCACCCCACGTGGAAACTAGCCACATTATCAAGAAATGACTAAGAGTCATTCCTTGATTAGGTGTCAAATGGATACAAATTCCTTTCATTTTTTTCAAGACTTTGGATATCCAAGTCTTTCCAATTCATTTCATTTTGAAGACTTGGCATTTAATGACTTAGGAACAACAGAACGTTGCTTTCTTACTTTAAAACAAAGTCTCATTCTCACTTCCATTACAAATACAAAAAGTAGCAAGATTAGTAGGAGATTTTGTTCAATTGTTACCATTTTCGTGACCGTGAGAGATCCCGACACAACAAGAAAACTTTTCCTTTCTTAGTTTGAAAGGTTAGAAGCTAAGGCCAAGCAAATTTCGTTCAAATTCAGAAGCAGAAGCTTCATTCTCTCGTTTTAACATATTTCACAGAAGCAGAAGCTTTACTTCGTTCAAATAATTCAAGGAACAGGCATGTTAAGGCCATCCCTTCTTTCTTTTGGCATGGTCTAAATTATAGTGAAGAAACGAGCAAACACGCAGTTTCATAAATTACTCTATTCATAGAAATAATAGGGGTGTCTATATTTTGATTCCCCATGAAAAATATTATTATCTTCTGTTCATGGGCCTCAGAATAATACACAGTTAGAAAAAGTTTATCCGGAAGGAATATTGAGATTATTACATATTTTTCATACATTTCACTCATTTATACATGTGCATTGACCCATGAATGGATGTAAAAATATGTATATGGGACATGGGAAAAGGTTACGGCATTATATACGCACCACCACCTGATCAACTGGTATATGTTGATGATGTTGGCCACAGTGGCCGAGATGATATGATGGGATGCCCTTAGTGGCTTGATGATATTATGTACATCCATACCTATGCATGGCACGACATTTATACGCACGTGCATGACATTATAAACGTTTCAGAATTTACAAAGTTATTCAGATTTAAAGATGTGTTTCCTTATTCCATGTTTCATCTATGTTTTTTACGTATAAATTTTCATGCCTTACATACTCAGTACATTTTTCGTACTGACGCCCTATTTCACGGGGCCTGCGTTTCATGCCCGCAGGTGTAGGTAGGCAAGCTGACGGTTCCCCTTCTTAGGATCCCTGATCAGCGAGAGTTGGCGTGCTCCACTTGATCCGGAGCTACTTTTGATTATGGTGCGATACGTTTGTATATATATATATATATACATATATATATATATATGTATATATATATATATATATGTATATGGGTATGACGTGGCTCAGTCTCGTCTTTGTACAGTTATGTTTCTATTAGAGGTCTGTGGACAGTATGTCTAGTTGGGCTGTATGTGGCCTTGTCGGCCTTCAGTTTTGGGTGTATAGTTGTCTATAGCAGCCTTGCCGGCTCACCCACTGTATCTTGCATGTATACGTACATATGCCTTGTTGGCAGGTTTCCTTCATATATGTTATTTCCGTAGTTCAATAGATGTTATTCAGATTCATATCTTAGACGCATGTTTAGGGGTGTTTGACAGGTAGGACTCAGGCACCCGTCGCGGCCTATCGGTTTGGGTCGTGACACCATACTGGAGGCGGCCCTGGAGCTGCAAGAATCTCAGCTAGCCACGGGTGAGCTGCATCACCCATAGCCAGTTTTTCCAAGTATTGCACCGTCTCAACATCCTCCAACCACAAGTATGTGTTCAAGGTGTTCTAGTTAAACCTCACTTTCAAATTTCTCACTTTCGTCACTCTGGTCCCCTTCTTTATGTGCGCCACATTGGTGTAAAATCCCGGACCAGGTACTTTTTGGCATCCACCACACTTTGAGTGAACCATGTCCACCCCTTCCGCTCCCAGAATTGTCTCGACGCCGCCGGGTTGTATTTATCAAGGTCTTTCAACAAGAACTGACGCTCAAGAGTGAGCGATCTCGACGGCCACCACTCTCGGAAACTATTGAATGCAGTTAGACTGACGAACCTATCTTCCCAATTTTCTTTCTTCTTTGACCTCTCAAGGCCGAAAACTCTGGTATCACCCCCTCGGCCATCATTCGGGATATCATCCACATCCACTGGTGCATTGGGGGCATGTGTAGATGAGGGCTCTGAAGCTTGACTGTCACCTTCTGAACCCTCAGAAGTGCTCTCTGAGGTGGAAGGTTCATCTCAGAGTTGAAATCTCCCTTGAAGCTACTGTGGCTGTGATTCTATAGCAGGTTGCTCTTGCACAGAGTCGCCATCCGATGCTTCCCTAGACGGAACATAAGAACTTGATTCAGCAGGCTTTGCAGCTCTACCTCAGCCGGCTGTCGCCTTTCTGGATATAACTCTTTGAAGGGCG